AAATCACAGACAGCAAAGCTGTAATCTGTAACCACCATATCCGGAAAGAGCCTCGAACCTGTGTGCGCATACATTTTTATTACACAGGGCGTTGCCCGTACATTTATGATTGGTCAAGACTAGATGAAGAGACACCATGGTTTAGACTTGGTTCTCTTTGGTAGGTGCGCAGACTTTAAAAAAAGTCTCTTGGCAACACGATCCTCCAATCAGCATTCAGCCGGCCTGTGGAAGTCCCTCCCTACTCTGGCACCATCATCGTACGTAATTTGTTTTCGCTAACGTTTCTACAGAAAAAGTGGAATCTTCAGCGGAGCTCACCCAAAGCTCAAGGACGGAGTGATGTCCTGTTTAAGAATAATTATTTTGTATTCTTCCAGTGTCTGCACCTGACCTTGCTACATTAGTATTGCAAGCTGAAAACTTTATTCTGGCTATTCCCTTCATTGGTATCTAACCCATCAGAACCTGGGATTAGTGATTGTGTCTATTTATTGTATAGTCATAGCAATCTCATGAGCACAATAAGCATATCATGTAACAATAAGAACCCCTCTTGTAATGTTATATACAAATAGACTCCACAAACTGCATGTACAATGCCACCAGAGTATTTAAACTGTATTATAAATAATCTATAAAAACCTTTATAACAACAGCGTAGAAAATGTTCCTTGAAAGGATGATGGAATAAACAGGTTAAGCTTATTAAGGCGCATTAATATGTTCTGTTTGTACAGTGTGCTGCTGCTGCTGGTGCTGGTGGTAATCCTGTGTGCTGGCATTAAGCTCCTGAATACAGGTGTACATATAAAGTCATCGATTTAAAGCTGCAGCTCAGGGAAGAGGATGACACCAGGATAATATTTATATCAAGGAGAAAACATCTTAACAAAGTACTCAATGAAACTGCATGGCGTACACATTACATTGCATTTAGCTGACGCTTTTATCCAAAGAGACTTACAATAAGTGCATTCGACCAACAAGATACAAACTTGAAGAAAACAGAATCATAAAAGTACATCAGGTTTCATAGAGCCAAACATTTCAAGTGCTGCTCAACTGGCTTTAGATAAGCCAGTCCTTTATTAGTATATAAGTGCTTTGTTAATAATTCAATCGCTCGAAGTGGAGTCTAAAGAGATGAGTTTTCAGTCTGCGCCGGAAGATGTGTAAGCTTTCTGCTGTCCTGATGTCAATGGGGAGCATTTTGGAGCCAGGATAGCAAACCCACGTGTTTTTGCTGATGGGAACTTGGGTCCCCCTCGCAGTGCGGGTGCAGCGAGCCGTACACATGTTAATAATAATAATAATAATAATAATAATAATAAAGCTTTATTTATATAACACTTTTCATTCAGCACGTACAGCCGCTTTACAAAATGGCGACACATCACAAGTTACAAATAAACAACAAGAAATACCCCTCAGATCAGATTTTAAGACCTAGCAACCAAATATAACCTTTTAACAGGTTAAGAGACACATGATAATAAAAATGAAATAAATAATGATTCCTCTCGGAAAAATAAGACACACAACTAAGTGAATCAATGAAGCAATATGAAACCCTATAAAATTAAGTAAACATAAAAAGATAATAGAAATAAAAACGTCATCATTCTAATAAAGGTTAAGCGATTAAAATATTAAAAGATAAACGTAAAAGGAAATAAAACATCAAAAAATATAAAAGTAGGTTAATAATAAAGACTAAAAGACCATTTAAAGGGGAAGGTTGCTAATGAAAAGCTAATCTAAAAAGATGTCTTTATAGCTGTCGTTTGGGGAGGAATACTTGTGTCATGGATGATCACAGACAAAGTCTCTGTGGCTCATGGATAACAGGAAGTAACCCGGATGAGTAAAGGTCGATTATACATAAAGCATAATTGTCAACAGTGGAGAGATGATCAGAGTGTCTGTACGCCGTGTGCCTGCCAATACAGACGGAGGAAAGCCGATTACTCGTTCCCTTTGTCAGCAGAATTGGGCGTGCTAGGTCACCGTGGGGGAGAAAAGTCCCCGGAACAACACGGAGGCTTTATGCAGCGCTGAAAAAAACATTGTGATCATTACAGGCAGATGAATGTGGAATCTGGATGACACAACAAGAAAACCAAGAGAGAAATTTGTACTGTTTTGATCCGTATGAAGGCGAAGTATAAGACTGGACAAACAGTTCAAGACAGGCACAACTGACATGAGAAGGGCCCTAAGCTTTTAATGTGTTTGTTTTATTTTCCTTAAAATAAAGAAAAAGCTTTGTTAATTATTCCTAAAGGCCGAACAAACCTGCTTGCATTTCCTTCCTCAGAATCATTTTCAATCAGGGTTTCATTCGTTTTATTTGGAAACTTGAATTGTTTAAAATCACATTAACTTTTTGAAATCTTACCGCCTCTCAAGGAATTAAATTGTTACCGGCCACATACCAAATAACAAGTAAATGTTGCTTGTAGCAGATAAACCCCGTCTCTGGAACTCTCTCCCACAAGACATCCGCAATATGGACTCACTATCAATCTACAAATCCAGCCTGAAAACACACCTTTTTAAACTGGCATATTCAAAATCTTAATAATTTTTCTAAACTGATTGTTGTTTTTAAGTATTTGTTTTTAAGTCTTGTGTGATCTTCTTTATTGCTTGTTTTTAATTATGCTCTGTAAGGTGTCCTTGAGAGCTTTGAAAGGCGCCCATAAATAAAATGCATTATTATTATTATTATTAAACATTTTAGGCCACCTGCCGGATTATTTTTTAATGCATTAGGGTAACCATCCGTATTTATACTATCTGACTCAGTGTTTACCATTCTGATGGCCAGTCAAATGTTCATGTTTATTAGCGGCTTGTTTTTTTGCAACTTTCTCAGTAAATGTACTAAAACTGCACAATTAACCTCTTCTGTTTTCTAGATAGACATACAGTACATATGATCCTAAATTTAAAACAAAATGTATGATATTACATTTAAGTTGTTTACACAGTGAACTACAAAATGTATGGAGCTATTTGTCCACAGCGAGTGGCATGAGACACACACACAGCATTACATATGTTCAGAAGGGCAGTTGATTAATCTGGGTGGATGCAGACTCACTGTTGGAGGTTTTGGGATCTTTCAGTCAGGTTTAAGGGATTGGAATTGGGCCGATGTCTTCATGCCACCTCCTCCATCCTACATGGCACCTTATTTGCCTGCAGAGGGCAGCAAGGCTATTAAGCTGAATAATTCCAGTGTGACCCTTACAAATGGGCCATCTGACGCCACAGAGCCTAGAGATAATCCCAGTGGCTTAGACTGGCACCCTGCTGAGAGGCCGTTAATGGCAGCAGTGAATCAGGTGGATGAAGTGATAGAAAGAGCAGCGCAGACTTCCTCACAGGAGTCTACGGACAGCGTTTCACGGTCCAAATACAAGACAGAACATTGATGGAGGAGACATGTTATGATTCACTCAGAAGACACTGTCAGGATAGCACAGGGGACGAAGAATCAAATGAAGAACCTGAGGATATTTCAACTTTGATTGAGGGCCAGAAAAAGTGGAGGGAAGCTGAAGCAGGAAAAGATAAATATCCTGAAGATGGGACACATCTTGACAAAGAGGGAGAAGATGAAAAATCAAAGGACATCGAGTCCAAACTAAACACAAAAAATATTGATGATGTGGAGACAACAGCCCCGACACTATCTTGTCTGAGTGATGATTATTTCGAGTCCTGCCATAACAAGATGGAAGCATCAATGTACGATCAGCCACAGGTATCAACGATCCCGAGAGAGATGTTTATTGACGATGAAGAGGATGTTGACGACTATGCCTTCCGAAAATACAACTGCTTGAAGAGAGATAGTGGCACCAGCCAAACACAAGGGTCCCTGGACTTTGAAGACTATGAAGAGATTGTGACAAAGAAAGATGGGAGTGTAAGAATAGCTACTGAAATCCAACAAGGAGAGCAACTGCTTCAACGTCTGCAACAGGTGCAGCTGCGACAAGACGTATGTACACCGGAGAGTCCTTGTACCTCCAAGACGGTTGTCCAAGAGACTGGAGGTGAGACAGAGTGTGAGCTTGGGGATGAAGAAGATTATATGAAGGCAAGAGAAGACGATCTGCCAGGTGGAGTTGAGACAATGTTTGTAGAGTCAGAGTATAACGCAAATTCAGGAGACTCCGATGATGACCCAAGTTACAGCTGCGTACATGAAGACAAATCTCCGATCGACCCCATTGAAACTTCTACCGAGATTCCATTCCTATCTACCTGCCACCGACTCTCCGTTGACGAGCCCTTAATGGAGAGGCAGATCTTCGAGGAAGCAAAGGAGAAGCAGAACCTGCAGAGAACTGGTGGCCTATTATATCTCACGGATAATCCAGATGTGCTAGAGTTTCCCTTTAAGACCAATATCTTGCTGGGGCCATTTGAGCCGACAAAGGATGGCCCGGACCAGCAGCGCAGCGACTGGCAGTTCTCCGAGCAGAAGATGAAAAAGGAGATAAGTCAGGAGTTTCAGAGGGAACTGGTGCTGGTCAACCAGGGGAAGATCCCAGGTGGGTACAGCAAGGAGGAAACCCGCCAGTTAAAGGAGACAAAGCTGCTGTTTGAGGCTTTCCAACAGGACAACACAGAGGGTCCGAGAAAACACCGGAAACCACCTACTTCGCCGACGAAAGGTCACGTCTACCCTTCTGTGCTGGAGCGCACACGTAGCATGAGGTTGCTGTCTCTGAAAAGTTGCCTTGTATCCAGATCAACTTCCCTCAGACTGCTTCAAGACATTGAGAAAAGTCCTGACATCTCCAGATCGCTGAGTTCAACAGAAGGTTCTCTAGACAAAAAATGCTTATGGTCTTTCACAAAACAAGACCTGAAGGCAAGCCAGTACAGATCGATGGACTCCATAAACAAAGATGTCTTTACATGCGATGTAGGTGCTAGGGGTAAAACTCTGGATGGAAATACAAAACAAGAATCTCCAATCCTTAAACATAACCCTTTCTTCAAGTTGCGTCCAGCTCTCGCTCTGAAGCCAGAAGTATTGAAAGAAATCCGGGAAGCCAAAGAAAGAGAGGAAGAGCTGCGCAGACAGAGATGCACTTTGTACGGAGAAAACGGGAAAAGTAATGAAAACGAAGAAAAATCACGATTCGAAGCAATGCTCGCACCAGGTAAGTCTGCATGGTCTCTGTCATGCAATGGTAGAATTGTACTGCATTTGAGGACAATTAGGAGGTACTTACACTCGAGTATTTCCATGTTATGTCACTTTACATTTTTTGCTTCAATACTTTTCAGAGGCACAATCCAGTAGAATAAATAATATACTTCTCAAATGGTTACTTTTACTAATTTATCAAAAATATAAGTACTTTTGTTCCTTCCGATTCCCCTGTACTTTTAACAAAATGACTTTAATTTCTACTTTTTCCATGACTTTGTTTCTTATTTGACTTTAGTTTCTGCTGATTTCTTCCATCTCAAATTATAAGTATTCTGTGTGCGACTGCATGCACCATAGAGGTTAATTTGCACATTAATTACACAATCTCCAAAGTTATTATACATTTCAGTGACAATCTGTTCATTTGGATAAACATTACTGACGACGCTTAGAGAAAAATAAATGGAAAGTAATAAAAGATTCATGGATCATTTCCATCAGACTGCTAGGATGCATCACTATGTCCGATAAGAGTCATTTAGATCTTTATTTATTCCACATCCCGGCCTTCTGACACTCAGTCTGAGCACTTTAATGAATGCCTCTCCACATTAGCATCACATAGTGTTATCTAAGCAGTCTTATCGACAACTTAGTGTCAACCCTGTCTCAAGCGGTTAAGGGCGAATCACTCCAACAGCCGTCTGATCTGAGTCAGCAAATGCCAGTGGGCTGAGTGACAACATGAAGGCGACTATCTGCACCTCAGCTTGAGCCTAAGGGCAGATATGGTCCTGTTATAACGTTGTGTAAATACCAATGACTTCAGACATTTGATAGGTCTTGTTGAAAGTATGTACGGTTTGTGTGAATGTATTTTGTTGACGTCTGATGTTGTTTCCTATATGCATAGCAGCAGAGCTTCGGGCCGCGACAAAACAGTGCAGCCAGCCAAGGAGTGTGTCATTATGTAGCACCATGTTACTATTTTCATGGTAATGATGTGTGGGGTTGAGGTGAAGAAGATGAAGCTACGTGGTGTGACAACATCATAATATGTCTGGGAGTAAAACTGGGATAAACTGGAGGAAGTGACTCGTTCTAAAGGTTGAATAAGCTGTAGTGTGTTACCCTAACCAGTCATGACACAAAACAGTATGATAATGTGTCACCCAGACACTGATATATTCACAGAGGACAGTTTTGACACTTCAATGAAGATATAACCTTCATAGGTTAAAATATACAGTGAATGTTTAATCTTGTCCCATCAAAGCCTTTTAACTGTCAAAACAGAATCTGATTTAGCATGCTAGTACGAACCTAAAATATTTAAATTGAGGCTGAACTTGGCCCCCACCACTGCTGTTGATATTCCTGTCAAGTTCTCTTTTTGCTTCCAACAAAAACTATTTATAAGGTTTTTCTAGTCGGCATTCAGCGATTTTGTCTGGTAAAATGTCAACCATAGTTAGATAGTTAGCTAACTGAGCTAACGTTAGCTAAATAATTTTCTCTGTTTAGCATATCTACAAATGCTACATAGCGCAACATCATGCTAAAAGACTTGCTAACATGCAAAGTCTTGCATTTCAAACAATTTTGCCAGTTATTTGTTGATGTAGTTGTGGAGATATTGTTTGGCTTAGTATTACAAGTTTGATGCTAATTACAGGTTAAATGCTTTGTAACACAACATAAGATGAGACCTTTATGCTACATCTTTTCAACATAAGCCTGTTTAGCTGCTTATCCTACTAGCAAGCTGTCAGAGGTTGTTTTAGTTTACAAGGATTTAAGATGAGGACTAACCTTGTGTTTTGACAATGTAATCCATCTCAGAGGATGAGTATGGCTCAGTATTCTGGAGCGTAAACTTTCCCAAATCCAATAGAGCAGGGCAACACAGTAAGCACCAGTAAGCTAGTTAGCCGGATATGCTAACGTTGTTGTTTACGTTAGAGCATACAGACCAAAAAGGATTAACCTGGTTACTTTTATGAAATCCTGAATGGTTCAATGGAAAACTGTAATATATCCTGCTTCTTTTCTATCTTTCGGTTCTTTAGTTATCAGGAAACAGTCCAGTCGGAAACTGGAACGAGTTTGGCCGCCGCCGTCCAAGAAATCTGAACAGGTGAAGTGACATAAAAAAAATATTTTTATGTAATCTTCTTTCTTGTTTTCTTTGTCAAATTTAGCGTACACCAACCACTGGCAAGAAAACAGTGTGACATGATGTAATGTTGTCACTAATTCAGGGTCACACTACAGGATGGATTATCCTTAGAAAACACTATAAGTAGGACTACAAAAGCTGAAGTTATCTCACGATAGAAAGTCAGGTTTCATTTCATTTCCAATGTGTTATTCTAGGATCATGAGGTATTTCATCTGAATACAAGATGACTTTACATTGGAAGTATTCCCAAATGCTTTTTGTTTTACAAATGCCTGGATTACTATAAGTGGTTCTGAAATGTATCTCAAATTCAGAGGATCAAGAAAAAGGGAGCTAATCTCCAACTCTAAATCCTGCTCTGTTTTATCTCCCAGCAGGAGGCAAAAGTTCAAAGAGCAGGAGGTCAGAAAACTCTGTGGCAACGCTGGGAGGCCGGCCTGATCAACGGGAAGCCGTCAAAGGAAAATAACTGACAACCAGATGTCTTCGAGTCTACAAAGATCAAAAATAAATGTCAATAAGCTACGATGCTAGAGCTGCATATGTGCAAGATTAATCAGCATTTGCAGAATCATGAAGGTAGTTTCAGTTTCTGGCTGTTCTTACTCTGCTTTGTATCTGTGTCCAAATACTTTTTGTGATTTATTTAAACACTGTTAATCAGCATGTAAATAAAGCTTAAGTATCATTCTCCATCATGTTTATGTTTATGTAAATGATACATGTCTATTAACTGTAGTCATACTGTTTATGGGAAGACAAATCTCCACTTACAGTTGGCTACAGACTCACGTTTCTTTCTCCACAAGATCTAAATGCAAATTTCAACTGTATTTCTTTCTTTGGATTGATAATAAATTAAAAGGATAGACTCGAGTGAAAAATTGGGTTCCAAGTTTTACACATTTGTTCAACATTTTGACGTTTCTTTTCACAAATGTTCCCTTTCTGGCGGTTCATTAACGCACATTCTTTCGTGCGTGGGTGCAGATTACCTCTCATCTGTCAGGCAGGTGCGGGTATTAAAAAGCCATTACTACTACTCAGCCTGTACTAACAGTTGTATAACAGCCTCTTTGGTTGTGAAAGGAGCTCTTTAAAGTCTGGAAATAAAACCCAAATGAATGAACCAACGATTGTTATATAAAATCATTAAATGTAATGACCGATCATGAGTTGATTCTAAATACAATTGAAAGTAAAAAAGCCTGATAAGCAATACATTGTGTCATAGCCTGTGACTTAAGATTTTCATTGTCATAACTACACTGTAGCTATGTAGAAATGACAATAAAAGCCGTGAAAAAAAAAGTCAGTGGTAAATGAAGCCATTATAAGAAGTGCAGGAAACTTAAATTGACCTGTGATCACATTTACCAGAGAGAGCTTGGTTTCTAATCTCCGCAGTTTAGCCGGTGTAAGTACCATCTGTCAGGCGGAGTGACTCTGCCAACAGAGGAAGGACTTTCACTCTCACTTCCTGGCTCGGGCATCCCAGTGTCATTTGGCCACAGATCCCACCAACCCCCGAGGCCTGGGCTTTTAGAGAAGAACAAACCGTACAGTGTGTGATGTTGGAGAAAACCAGCAACAGTCCTCCTATAGAGAGGTGCAGGGATGACCTATTTCTCTTTCAATATTTTATTTTCAGGTGAGACAATACAATAAACATTAGGGACAACAAAACATAATAAAACCCACAAAACAATAACAACAAACAAGGACAAAAACAGACAAGCAGCAACAGTAGCAACCTAGTACTCACTCACACTTATCATGTTATATTTACGCCCACAGTTATAACCCTTGACCATTCTTCTTTCATGTACGGGGCAATTTGGGACCAGTCTCTAACAAATTCATCCAGAGCTCCTCGCAGCACGTGTGACAGCCGCTCCAATGGCAGGATTGACATCAGTTTTTGAAACCATAACAAAAGATGATGACGTATTTGTAGGCGACCTGGAAGATAGCATTGCAAGGGATCCCTCGACAAAAAGCGATGGGTTTTTATCATTACATGTAAGATACAGGGGTTATTCATTGCCTATGGGGCCCATTTTGGAGGTTGGGGGTTCAGTCAGTCACCAGGATGTGTGTGATTTATTAGAGCAAATAGCACCTTTTATGTAGACCCTGTATGAATGGTTCAATGCTGACTTGTACAGTATACGTAAAAGAAAAAGTGCAGTCAATTTACTATAACATTACTACAGTAATATTTTTGAATGCATATTTGTACATGCATTGCATCATTATTACATTGTTTTTGTATTGGGACTTTTACTTAAACAAAGGATCTTAATACTTCTTCAATCACTGGAGAAAATCGGTGGAGTCGGACGTTTTTTGGGATGGGGTAAAAGAAGATGATCGGTAGTTATATATACAGAATCATGTCCTTCAGGATGGGCTTGTATGCCATATTTAGAATATAAGTATCTTCTTTTATAAGATAAAACGTCTAAAAAATTCTAAACTCTTTAGAAGACGGAGTGAATAATGTCACGTCATTGTGAATCTATATTATATATACTGTATATATACAGTATATATACATATAGCTATAAAGACCATGACTGATCTTATCAACAAGGCTTCAGTTGTTGTTCTTTGCCATAGTGATGAATTATAAATAAATGTGATTCTTCTAACATTTCCAATAAAAAAGTTTATCCATAGTTTGGATGTGAAGATGCTGCATCTTTTACCACATGAGGGTGGTATAGCCTCAGTAATCAAGTGACAAAATGTCAAGGCAACATCAACACTATTTATGTTTGTACAGGATTATGTGTATTAAATTGCTTGTAAATCAGAGTATAGGTGTTGCACACACTAATGTACACGGGTTGAAATGTTATGATAAAAATCACTGAAAACGAATGACATATCTTTAACAGGACAGAAAACCATAGATCCTTAAAACCCTGTAATATAACATGAATTTATCCAGACTAATATGTGAAGATTTGTTAATTACATTACATGTTAGACTCTTTTATCCAGAGCGACTATCATATTCAATACTGTGGCCAATCCCCACAGGAGCAATTTGTGGTGAAGTGTCTCAGGGACACAACAACATTCTGACTACAGTGGGGTTTGAACCTGGGACCCCCTGATCCTAACACCAACGCACTAATCCACTGCGCCACACGCCTCCCTTCATACTAATGTTCAGGATTGCTAATACCAAGACGTGAGTTCATAGGAAGGGTAAACATATGGGGAGAAAGTACATCAGTTATGTAACCTTTGTAATTTATCCAGCGATGACTCACTGACTGACTTCTCAGAGTCAGCAGCTCTGTTCTCTCTTCCATGAACCAGGAGGAGAGAGATGTTGCTAAAGAGCACATGTGCGTCACTTTTTGCAACAGCATGTGGGCGGCCATTTCTTCAGATGTTTGCTGAAACTCAGAGGAATGGCTGACATAAACCCAGCACATTAGGGGTGTGTTGTTCTTAAGGGAAAGGAAGTTTCTGGCAAAAAAATTATCGTCATAGAAAAAAGGGCATGACTGTGAGAACACAAAAAAAAAGAGAGTGTTGAAAAGCTGAAATGTGTTGTCCCTGTGTCCATTTAAAATCAATTCAAACACCATGACACAATTCCATCTGATCAACGATAAAGACCTGGAGGACATTAGACAACATCTGCAATCCTCCTCCTGCTGCCTTGATATTATACCAACAGGCTTTTTCAAAAATGTTTAACATTGCATTCCCTCAAATCTACTTCATATAGTAAACAAGTCTCTTCACTCAGCGTTATTTCCACAGGCCCTGAAAACTACAGTCATTAAACAGCTCTTAAAAAAGAATGATATAAACACATTAGTATTGAACAATTACAGGCCCAGATCAAACCTCCCATTTCTAAGTAAAATCATTGAAAAAGTTGACTTTCAACAGCTGTGTCATTTCTTGGATTTAAAATGTGAAGTTTGGATGTGTTCCAGTCAGGTCCTCTACTGTACTTAAACACAGACAGTCGCAGAATCTCAGTGTTAGTTTTAGTGGATCTTAGCTCTGCATTTGACACTGTTGACCACAACATGTTACTAGACCAACTTGAAAACTGGGTGTGACTTTCTGCATAAGTTCTAAATCGGTTTGAATCCTATGTAAAGTACAGGTAATCATTTGTTTCTATTGGTAACTCTGAGTTGAAGAATATAACATTCGGGGTTCCTCAAGGCTCCATCCTGGGGCCTCTTCTCTTTAACATCTACATGCTTCCACTGGCTCAGATAATGGAAAACAACAGGATAAATTACCACAGCTATGTAGACGACACATTTACGTAACCATTTCACCAGGAGACTATGCTCCAAATGAAGCATTGAGTAAGTGCGTTGAAGAAATCAATGACTGGATGTGTCAGAACTTTATTAAATCAAACAAAGATAAGACTGAGATAATTGTAGTAATCATGGACTACTATCACCTTAAGAGTATATCTAGGGTTAGAGGATTTATATCACAGCAGGATTTAAAAAAACGTGTCCATGCTTTTATCTTCAGTAGACTGGAATGGTGTCTTTACAGGTCTCAGTAAAACATCTATTTCAAAGCTGCAGCTAATTCAGAACGCTGCTGCTCGAGTCCTCACTGACACTAAGAAAGTGGATCACATCACTCCTGTTCTGAAGTCTTTACACTGGCTTCCTTTGTGTCAAAGAATATATTTCAAAATACTGCTGCTGGTTTATAAAGCTTTGAATGGTTTAGGCCCAAAATACATTTCTGACCTCCTGCTAAATTAAGAACCATCCAGATCTCTCAGGTCTTCTGGTCAGCTTTCTGTCCCCAGAGTCAGAACTAAACATGGAGAAGCAGCGTTCAGTTATTATGCTCCAAATATCTGGAACAAACTCCCAGAAACCTGCAGGTCCGCAGCAACTCTGACTACTTTTAAATCTAGGCTAAAGACTTTTCTTTTCGTGGCTGCCTTTAATTGAACTATTCATATCTCACACTGCACTGTAACTTTTATTCATGTGTTTTATACCTGTGTTTTTCTATATTAGCTTGTTTTATGTTTGATTTGATCTCTTTGCTTTTTAATGAACATTTTTCATGGATTTAAAGCACTTTGAATTGCCTTTTGTTGACTATATGCTATATATAAATAAACTTGCCTTGCCGACCCGTCATAAAGCTCTGTGAGGTTGTACTTCCATATCTCAGTGATCTGAGGACATTACGTTTCTTTGGCTCCATTTCCTCTCACATTCCCCCAAAAGATGTTCATGAAACCGCCAAAAACTCCCCTAAGTGAACTAACCCTTTAAAACTGAGGATTAAATTACTTCTGCTCTAAATTACAAATGTCTTCAACTCATCAACTTTGCGAACGAATGTTTTAATATAAGTTTGGATTATGAAAAAGTTCTCTATGAAATAATAATAGTGTATTATAATATAATTATTATAATCAGAAATCACAATCAAAACAGCAAGAACTGGCTTCCAGGTTTTATTTGTAAGCTTTATTATACAGAAACTTGATTACTGATAGGTATATACCAAGGTATGAGAACAGTTTACATATCACTGCAATATACAACAAAAATAAATGCATAAAATCCAATAATAATCAAACGTTTTTACATGTAATGAAATCACAATCATTTGATTTGAAATATTGAGAATTTATATGTTTGCGTATATATTTTTATTGCTATTTTAAGTTTCACCTTTTGTGATTTTAAAATGGTCAAATAATGTATCAATGGAAATAATAATAACACAATTACATTATGCCGTTGGTTTACTTTGTCTTTTGTGATCAGATTCAGATGTTGTATTTGCATGAATGAATGTCTAACATCCAGTGTTCAAATCCTGTTTCTGAGCCGCTGT